CACTCCTGGAGAGTCGGCTCATCATGAGGTCACAGCAGTGGAGGTCAAAGGGCAGCAGGGGGAGGAGCGAAGGCAGTTAGATACCCCGGGAGCCGCGGGAAGTTCAGGCGTCTTCGTCTTTCCCCGAGTGAGGCTTAGCGGAGAGACCCAGCAGACCCGTCGCTGTGCCAAAGAGGTTGAGGGGAGTGGAGCCGTCTGTGATGAGGGTGGACTGGATCCCCAGACCCTTCAGGAGCTTCACCTGGAGAGAGAGAGAGAGAGAGAGAAAGGGCAAGATGGTGAGGGGGACACAGAAGGAAAGATGGAAGGAGACGGAGGCCAAGAGACAACGTGGAGGGGAAGAAGAATAGATGGAGGCAACAAAGGCCAGAAACCAAGATGGAGGACAGGGGGAGAGATAGAAGAAGAAGATGGAGGCTAGAATACCAAGATGGAGGGTAGGAAGAAAAACGGAAGGAGATGGAGGCTAGAAAACTAGAATGGGGGGTCAGGAGAAAAGAAGGAAGTAGCTGGAGACCAGAAAACAACATGATGGTCAGGAGAAAAGATAGAGGGTGACGAAGACCAGAAACCAAGATGGTGGGCAAGAAGAAAGATGGAAGGAGGCTAGAAACCAAGATGGCGGTGAAGTGGGAAGGGGGAGAAAAGATGCAAGGAGACAGAGGCCAGGAAACAAGGAGGACAGTCAGGAGGAATAATGGAAGGAGATGGAGGCCAGAAACCAAGGTGGTGCAGAAGGAAGGATGGAGGGCAGAAAACAAGATGGGGGTCAGGAGGAAGGATAGAAGCAGGATGACAGATGGAGGTCAGAAACCACGATGGGGCAGAAGGAAAGATGGAAGGAGATGGAGGCCCAGAAACAAAGAGGACAGTCAGGAGGAATAATTAAAGGCAATAGAAGGAGATGGAGGGCAGAAAACAAGATGGCGGTCATGAGGAGTAATGGAAGGAGATGGAGGGCAGAAACCAAGGTGGGGCAGAAGGAAGGATGGAAGGAGAAGGAGGGCAGAAAACAAGATGGCGGTCATGAGGAGTAATGAAAGAAGATGGAGGGCAGAAACCAAGGTGGGGCAGATGGAAGGAGGAGGGCAGAAAACAAGATGGCGGTCAGGAGGAAGGATAGAAGCAGGATGACAGATGGAAGTGGACAAAAGGCCAAAAACCAAGATGAAGGCAAGTGGAAAGATAGAAGAAGGGGACGGAGGCCAGAAAACACTGTGGACTCCGGACATAACTGGTTCTCTTTGATGATGAACACAATGATGGAGGAACAATGACACAACTCAGATGGAGGGAAGGAACAGGAATGAAGGGAGTCGGGGAAATGAAACCAGCGGAGGAGAAGAGCGATAAAACATGGCCGCCGGTTGGTCACCTGTAGCTCGGGTCCCGCCAGCGCGATGTCCCTGATGGTATCGGCTCCAATGGCCTCCATCATTCCAGTGAACTTCTTCACAGCGATATTAGCGACCTCCGACTCCTTCAGAATCTCCAGCTTGTTCTTCTCCTGGAGGTATGTCAGCTCCTCGGAGCGAGCCTGGCGCAAACGCTGAAGCTCCGCCTCCTGCACACAGACAATGGAGGCAAAAGGTCAGCTTTCAGGCACATTAAGCAAAAGGTCTCGGCCCCGCCTCCTACGAGGACACTCCCCTCACCGTTTCAATGGCCAGAGCTTCAGCCCGCAGTTTGGCCTGCAGCACAGCGCCTTCCCCCTCGATCTTCGCAGCCTCAGCCTTGGACTGAGCCTCAGCCTTGGCCGCCCCCGTGCTCTCCACCGCCGTGCTGGAAAAAGAGGACGAGAGTCTCACTTCAATCCTAAACCTCCTCTAAGCCCCGCGTGTCCGCTGTGCCCATATGAGGGTCTCCCACCATCCCTGTGCTGAGTTCCTGGGTCTGTACACCCGCTGTGCCCATTATGAGGAGCTCCCACCATCCCTGTGCTGAGTTCCCGGGTCTGTACACCCGCTGTGCCCATTATGAGAGGCTCCCACCATCCCTGTGCTGAGTTCCCGGGTCTGTACACCTGCTGTGCCCATTATGAGGAGTTCCCACCATCCCTGTGCTGAGTTCCCGGGTCTGTACACCCGCTGTGCCCATTATGAGGAGCTCCCACCATCCCTGTGCTGAGTTCCCGGGTCTGTACACCCGCTGTACCCATTATGAGGAGCTCCCCCCATCCCTGTGCTGAGTTCCCGGGTCTGTACCCCCGCTGTGCCCATTATGAGGAGCTCCCACCATCCCTGTGCTGAGTTCCCGGGTCTGTACCCCCGCTGTGCCCATTATGAGGAGCTCCCACCATCCCTGTGCTGAGTTCCCGGGTCTGTACCCCCGCTGTGCCCATTATGAGGAGCTCCCACCATCCCTGTGCTGAGTTCCCGGGTCTGTACCCCCGCTGTGCCCATTATGAGGAGCTCCCACCATCCCTGTGCTGAGTTCCCGGGTCTGTACCCCCGCTGTGCCCATTATGAGGAGCTCCCACCATCCCTGTGCTGAGTTCCCGGGTCTGTACACCTGCTGTGCCCATTATGAGGGGCTCCCACCATCCCTATGCTGAGTTCCCGGGTCTGTACACGCGCTGTGCCCATTATGAGGGGCCCCCACCATCCCTGTGCTGGGTTCCCGGATCTGTACATTATGAGGGTTCCTGTTACTGAGGTCTTAATGAAGTGCCGCCCACTTACTATTCAATGACGGCACCCTTGTTGTCCACTGAGGCACTCTCATTGGACAGGGAGACAGCAGGTGGGTGGGGCTTATCTCTCATGCCAGGGAAGTTGGGCCCTGAGGGGCGCACAGAGGAGGCTCACAAGATAAATAGTAAACACTGATGGGGAATGCTCAGTGAATGGGGGGAATGTAATCAATGCTGAACACTCATACACACTGACAGAGCAGCACGGGATTGCCCTTTAAATAAACAAATGAGACCACGTCAGCCCTTCCCGAGTCCTCCTACCCCCACCTACCTGAGGGCCTCCAACTCTAGAAGCTCCTTGCGGGCTTTTTCGGCTTCAGCTTGGTCTGTAATGCGCTGGCGCTCCAGACGACCTTTCGCCTCCTGCTCCAAACGTTCCGCTTCATGTCTGTGCAGAGAGAGATAGATATGTATGGTGTAATACTCTCTTCTACCATTAGATGGCAACAACTGCACATTATTATATGTTATGGCTTCTTGCATTGGCCTTTAGCAGGCACTGTGGACGTATCTTGCCCTTCCTTGTTCTATAAAATGGCCAGTAGTAGTAGTATTGTTCTGCTTTTCCTTGTGCTAAACAACAGCAGCTAGTGGACACTGCGAATTCATTGTGCATTGTGTGTTTCTCTTTGTTCTATGCAGTGACCACTAGGTGGCACTGTGGTGGCGCTTTGTTGTTCCTTGCTTTCATGCGGTCCTTACGATCAATTCCTGCATCTATTCTGGTTCAGGGTCATTTGCAGCATGCTTGCTGTATGCGCAGGTCTCACGTGCCAAGTTATTGCCACTGCAGATATGGCTATGTCAATAATCTGCATTGCAGGTTACACGTGCCTCAGGCGAGTTACACATGAAGTAAGCTTTCTGCCAGCTGTGGCACCACAACTCCCAGCATGGCCACAGATCAATGTATTCGGTTAGATTGCAAGTCTGGTGATTTTTTATTTTTTTTCATTAACAATAGTTTTTTCAATTGTATTTAAAGTTCAATTTTTAGTTTTGGATTGATGGGGATGAACGAGAACCTCTGTCAGGGTTGACTGCTGTCCCGATTTGGGAGATATCCCCTCAAAGGCTCATCTCAGAGCCATCTTAGCTCTCTGGGTGTGGTGAAACTACAAGTACCAGCATGCCCTCACCTGGCGGTGGCCTCTTGGGAGTTGGTGGTGATCTCTATAGCCAGCTGGACGCTCTTCTGCAGTGCGTCTCTGGTGCGCTGGTCCACCGGCTCCACTGACTGAATGTCCACACTGGTGATGACCAGATTATTTTGTGGGAATTTGAAGGAGCTGCGAATCTTCACCGAATCATCGAATCCAAACACAGCCGAGCAGATGATCCTGTTGGAGTTCTGTGAGAGAGAGAGTTATACGGTCAGCCACTAGAGTGTGCTAGGGGGACACGGGACACCTGGGGCTCCCAAACTAACAGAAATAAAATGTCATGCCAACACTGGGGGTCACTCCCAGGACAATGACACTCTGACCCATGGAGGTTCCATACAAACTACACCCGGACATCAAGGTTCCCAGAGCAATGACACTCTGACCCTTGGAGCTCCCCCTGACATCTGGGGTCCTAGAACAATGACACCCTGACATTTTAGGTCTCAGAACAATGACACCCCCACAATTGGACCCCTCAGAACAATGACACCCTGACCCTTGGAGCTCCCAGAACAATGACACCCTGACTCTTGGAGCTCCCGGAAAAATGACACCCTGACCCTTGGAGCTCCCGGAACAATGACACCCTGACCCTTGGGGCTCCCGGAACAATGACACCCTCACCCTTGGAGCTCCCGGAACAATGACACCCTGACCCTTGGGGCTCCCAGAACAACGACACCCTGACCCTTGGAGCTCCCGGAACAACGACACCCTGACCCTTGGAGCTCCCAGAACAATTACACTCTGACCCTTGGAGCTCCCAGAACAATGACACCCCTACAAGTAGGGTTTAAGAACAATTCTCTCAGTATAAGTCAGAATGAACATGTAAAAAAAAAACGTATCCGAAATGGATGTCAGACAGAAGGAATTTTCCTCGGAAAGCCTCCACACAACCCAGGCAACTAACCCCAAACCAGGCAGTTGGGCACTTACCTTGTGGAAGTCATCAAACTGCACAGAGGCCACGGCTCCTCTGATACGAGAGGCGATGGCTTTACATGCGTCACCCACAAAATCCGGAACGCTAAAAATATTAGATGCGTCGGCTGAGTCCGTCTTGTCGTTTACTTCAAAATGCCTTTGTGAGGGGAAAACAAATGAAACCAACAATGTGATTGTAATAAAATATCCCACCAACAACAAGCAAACAAACAACAACAGTATAACAATTGTAAGAAGTAAAATCATATAACTGAACATGGTAAAGTTCCTGCACAAGTGGTCCAGACTTTGAGGGAAAATTGGGGTCTCACCAGTTGTAGGATAGCTGGATCTGGAGCCTGGCGTGGTCGGCGGTCTCTATATTGATAAGGTCGGTGCAGAAGTCCGGTCCCAGGAGAAGGCAGACGGCCTTGATGACGTTGGAGCGTTTGGGGGTCCCTCCGGAGAGGCTGAGGACTGTGAACTGCTCATCGGGGCCGAGAATCACCAACTCCGGGCCAAACACCACCCTGGAAGAAGAGGAGGACGCAATTAGATCAAAGCCAAATCTACAGAATACGGATATCTCGGTGGTGGATGGGGCTTTGTGGAATCTTCTACTGCTTTCTCTTATTGGGGACTTCAGCACCCTGCAGGCTCTTCAGCACCCTGCAGGGTGTTCCTGGCTCTTCCCCAGACAGCAATTATTGCAATGTAGAATACAAAGACTATTGGTGAGAGTGGGAGACTTATTAAGTGGCTGTTATTGGTTGACAAACCTGAAAAGTCAGGAGAAGATAATGTGTTTTATCCCAAAAATGCAGAGTAGACCAAGCCAATCCACTTTATGAAATCCTCCCGTCAACAGCAACCTGACATACTGGAACACCTGATCCTGGAATTCTAAAGTCCGGAGGTTCCCAGCCCTGCCCACCAAATCCTGGCATTCTGAAGTCCGGGGGTTCCCAACCCTACCCCCAAAATCCTGTCATTCTGAAATCCGGGGGTTCCCAACCCTGCCCACCAAATCCTGTCATTCTGAAGTCTGGGGGTTCCCAACCCTGCCCACCAAATCCTCGCATTCTGAAGTCCGGGGGTTCCCAACCCTACCCCCAATATCCTGCCATTCTGAAATCAGGGGGTTCCCAACCCTGCCCACCAAATCCTGTCATTCTGAAGTCTGGGGGTTCCCAACCCTGCCCACCAAATCCTCGCATTCTGAAGTCCGGGGGTTCCCAACCCTACCCCCAATATCCTGCCATTCTGAAATCAGGGGGTTCCCAACCCTGCCCACCAAATCCTGTCATTCTGAAGTCTGGGGGTTCCCAACCCTGCCCACCAAATCCTCGCATTCTGAAGTCCGGGGGTTCCCAACCCTACCCCCAATATCCTGCCATTCTGAAATCAGGGGGTTCCCAACCCTGCCCACCAAATCCTGTCATTCTGAAGTCTGGGGGTTCCCAACCACCCCCAGTCTCTATAACAGTGGTAGGCAATCGCCAGCCCTCCTGCTGTGGTGCAACTAGAAATCCCGTTAGGACTGCCTATAACAGCCATAGGGATGACTGTGGCTGTTATAGGCAGATGCATAAAGAGATTTGCAGTTTCTGCAAACAGGTCCAATGTCTCCTCTTGCCCTCACTGAGCTGAATCCCTGTCTGCAGAGATCTTGCAGAGAAGGACAATGGGGTTTAACAGGTGACACTTGTATACTGGCTTACCTGGCCTTCTTCTCTCGGTAGTCGTACACTTGGACGGCGGCGTTGTGTGGAACGCGGTAGGTGACAGCCCTGGTCTTGTCTCGGGGCTGCGTTTCCTGTGCTTGTTGGACTCTGTTGGACCTGTCGGCCACGGGATCCTTTCCAGAGGCCAGCAGAGCCTCCACGTTGGCCGGCAGTTCCTTCTCCCACAGCTCCTCGTCTTGGGTCAGCATGTACGTCTGTCCCACCACGGAACGGACCTGTGTGACAGAGATTTAAATCACTGAGTGTGGGACGAGGTACCACTGGGATGGACTCCATTACAGATTCTACAACATTTCAAATAGTCCAGACTACAAATATTCTCTCCGATGGGGCTGATGTATCAAGGAGGTCAACGCTAACACACGGCCATAGGTTAGACTTATCCCCGTACTAGGGAAAGACACCTAAACCATGGAAAGCCTGGATCGGATTTGGGGATGCAGGGGACATGGGCAATTCTTAAACCCGTCCAACTTTTTTATTTTATTTTTAGGTTGAGTTTAAAAGATTCTGTTTTTATATCTGTCTGAGACTCCAGTGGGGAATTGTCAACAGGTTTCCTAGAAAACTGAAGTTTGCTTATATTTTGGATCTTAAATAAGTTTTAAAAATGTTATTACACGGTATTTTGTATCGTTATTTTGGAATTTGGATCCGAAATTCAATTTAGTTCGGGTTTCGGATTTGGGACCCGAATTGCATTTGGGAGCTGGCCAATCAGATGTGTTTTTCGGTTTAATGCATCCGAATGGGTCTGAACACAAACTTTCGTTACGGCATTTGGGAGCTCCCTAACGCAATTCGGAACCCAAATGCCATTCACATCTGGGAGCCATGTTCATATATTACTAAAGCTGACGCTCCCAGACCCGAATGGCATTCGGAAATTCGGGAGCTCCTGAATACCATTCGGGTCTGGGAGCCACAGCTTTATTGTTGTATATACTGTATATGGCTCCCATGTTGCCGTAACGAAAATTTGTGTTCAGACCCATTCGGATGCATTAACCCCTTCGTGACTGACGACCCCGCTGTGTTTCCCGGGCTCTGTTGCCCCTCCTACGGGCCCGGCGATCTTTGTGTCCGCGGGGAGCTGGGGAGGAGGTCGAACTTCCGTTCATCGATCCCCTCCCCGTTCTATGGGACCGGGAGCGATGCAGATTGCATCACTTCCGGTCCCTGGGCTGTCAGTTCTGGGCTCCTGCAGCCCAGCTATAAGCTATTGAAGTGCGATCTGCACTTCAATAGCTTATTTCCAGTGTAAAGGTGACACTGAGGGTCTTTTGGACCCCCAGCATCACCTTAAAGAGGACCTGTCACCACCATCTGCTATTACATGGGGGGGCTTGCAAGCCCCCCCATGTGATAGCAGTCAAAGTAAAGTAAAAAAAAAAAAAAAAACAGTTTTTAAAATTAAAATGAAATAAAATAAATCTAATAATAATAAAAAAAAAATTTTAAAAGTACCCCGTTTAAAAGTTCCCCGCCCCCGCCACGTAAACATGCGTCGGGTGCGCCTACGCATGAAAACGACGAACGCGCTACACATGTTGGGTATCGCCGCGCACGCCGGAGTGAGAGCAATAATTCTAGGGCCAGTATTTTGTTGTATCTCTAAATTGATGACCTGTGGGGGCTTTTAAAGCGTCTTTTATTGACTTTTTGGGGTACTGCAGTTTTTCACCGTTTCACGGTCGCACGCAATCTGTAAACTGGGCATGTTGGGTATCGTTTTACTCGTTGTAACCTCATCTTTTATATTTCATTTAAAAAATGGGTAATTTGTTGTGTTTTGGGGCATTTAATTAAATTTGTCACTAAATTTTGGGGTTTAATAAGGAGTTGCGCTAATATTGCGCAACATAAACATTTTCAACTACCACCATTTTATTCTATAGGGTCTTGGCATTCAGAAAATATATAATGTTGGGGGGTTTTACGTCATTTTCAGGCCTAAAATGTGGAATATAAGATGGGTGCAAAAAATGAAAAAAAGGGCCTCAGTCATGAAGGGGTTAAACCGAAAAACACATCCGATTGGCCAGAAAAGTCACATGTCCGATTCAGTATTGTTTTTGAACAAAATTCGGACGGCATCCGAAAATTCAGAAACGGAAATTCTGATTCGGACACATTCGAATGCATTGGGATTTGGAAATTCGGATGTGTCCGAATTTCAGAAAATGTGTCCAAATTTTGAAACAAATTGCACATGTCTACAATGCAGGCAGATCATGGCTGGTAGGAGGGGCCGGCAGGGTGCTGTACATAGCGTCCTGAAACATCCCAGCACCCTGTCTCAGTACTCCTCCCCTCTCAGTCCTGATGCAAGTATTGAGCCAGATCTTGGGAAGAGTTATGCAAATATAAAAATGCCTTGACGGGTGGATGTCAGTCTGGAGCAGTGGGCCGTTCCTAGGCATTTGCATACAGACCGCCCTAGGTAACGCCCAAATGTGATGCTGAGCCTCCATGATTGGAAGAACTCAAATCCAATGAATGAAAGAGCTAGATAATGCTGGATGTCCTCCAGTCAGGAAATGAAACAGGCTGTAGTCTCTATACCCTATACCCCAATAGGCTTGAGTCATTTTGTTCTAAACTTCAACTGATTTTAACATTCGATTTCGGAATGGAGTTTTCCCAAACGAAAACCTCATTCACTGTTAGAATTCCCATCCCGCGACTTTTTTTTTGATCGGCGATTTGACGCTGTTAACTATTAGAAAATGGAACATTCTGAAAATTGATTTTTTATAAACAAAACTCTACTGGTGTACTGCCGGCTTACATTGTAACAAGTTTATATTTCGAGTTCTGTAGATCTCAGACATTAGGAAGGTTTTGTGCTTCCTCAACTTTTTTTTTTTTTTTCGCTGCTGCAGCTGCTACTGCTGAGAGTGATCAGGATTAACTGGCGATTATCGGGATTCCAATGACGGCACAACGCAGCCAATCACCATAAAGCATCAACGATGAAGACGGATTTTGTATCTCGTTATAATGTAGCAAACTGCAGGTCGTGAGAGTCAATCACACAAAATGGTAATAATATGAATGTATCAATAATCTGTTCTGGTGATGGGTGACACCAGTAACTCCCGAGGATCCAGCAGTCACGGGGTTCCTCTTGTGGTCTGCTTCGGGCTATTCCTGTCCCCGGGAGGAGTGGAGTGACAACAGCTGAACTGTTTATGTGTAGAAGAAAGTCAATGCTTACTCATGGAGTCATCCATGTCACATGCGGAGGAGTAGAACTTCCTGAGCTGAAACCTCCTACACCCGAGCAAGACTGAAACATCGACAAAGCCAGCTAGTAGGAATTGGTGACAATCAACTGGACTTCTTCTGTAATGTTGAAGCTTCTCCATGACAATTCTTCAGTTCTAATGATTGTCAGGAACAAACCCAACATTTATAGACATACAGATAGCACAGACATCATCATCCAATCACCATGGAATGTGTCAAAGCAGATGTTGATTGTCCAAGAACAGAATGGGAGGTATAAAAGTTATGGAACCCCCCTGTTCTACACTAGTTACATAATCCCATCCTTGGTGTCAGGAAGTCTGCATACGTGTTATTCATTTGAGTGTCATACCTCACAGTGCCGTCACAAGGGGGGGTGCGGCCCACACCCGGGTGACACCATTGGAGGGTGTGACACCAAAATGACTGACAGTCACCCCCTCTGAAAAGTCGGGCACCTTATCCCGCCGGGTGAATGTCCCCTCCTCTCTCTGTCGGTGTCCATCACCAAGATGGCACTACAGCAGGTATCACCAAGATGGCCGCGCCTGCACGATGACATCATGGCAGGGTGTCACCCGGTATCCACTCCGGGGGACACCCAGCCTTGGGACACCCCTGATACCTCCTATCCTGTTCTTGGACAATCAATATCTGCTTAGACACAATCCATGGTGATTGGATTATGGGGGTCCATGCTACCTGTGTGGCTATAAATACTGGGGTTGCTAGCACAAAAAGGAAACCTCCACTGGGGAATCCTGTCGTAGGTTCCAGCCTTCCACAATTCTACTAAAGATTTGCTATTCGGTCTCTATTGGAGAGATTCCACCTCACTTCCTGTCCAGGTGACAAGGTTGTGACTGGGACAGGAAGTGAGATCAAATGCGAAACACATACAGCAATAAGAAAAACCTGATCATCATCACACTGTCCAAACGTAGAGGAAATGTTTTGGATGTTCCTGGTTAGGTAATGGCCTCTGTAGGGAGCTTAGAGAGAAATGTAGAAAAACCAGACGGGCTTATAGATGACTAATGGGATTTTCAAATCAGTAAATCAGATATCAATAAGGATTGCTGCCAACCAATCTCACCTTTCCAGTCTTGATGTCCCGTACGTAGATGCCTTCATTTTCATCCATAGGTATGGACTCCCTCCTAATCACAACCTCCACCTCTACCGGTGGCACATACTCCAGTGGGCCTCGAATCATCCAACGGTCACCGGGCTTGTGCTCAACAACGTTCTCATCCTGGCAGGAGATACAGGAAGATAGTGAGACACTGGACATCTGAAGTACAAGATATAAATATGTGTGAAGTATGATATTACCTCATCCTTCTCCTCCAGGACCTGCAAGGCTCTAAGAACCAATCCTTCTTCCTCAGACAGGATGTAGACATCTTGGATTCCTGATTCTAGATTCTCACCCGGCTGCAGGAAAAAGGACTTCTCACCCTGCAAATGGAGACCTACATTAGTCTGGCGACCACACAGCAGAGGAGTAAAGACAGGAAGACAATCATGTCCATAAAATGTTTAGTTCTCCTACTGCTGGGTTCCTTCAACGTTCTGTACTAGATTCTGGTTGAATTCTTGACCAAGATTTAGGAACACGGGGCCTACCAACGGATGATGAAAGACTCGGTCAGGGCCTGCGGATGGGACCTGAGACAAGGCAACAGTGCAACCCATTCCCAAGCGCCAGATGTATTACCTGTGCTACCTCACAAAGGCCTAGAGCAGGCATGTCCAAACTCCGGCCCTTCAGCTGTGGCGAAACTACAAATCCCATGAAGCATCTCTCTCCTGGAGTCATGTCTGTGGCTGTGAGAATCATTGCAAAGCCTCATGGGATTTGTAGTTCCACCACAGCTGGAGGGCCGCAGTTTGGACATCCCTGGCCTAGAGGGAAAGAAGAACCATTATGGATGCAATCAAAATAGCTCCGGGACAATCAGTAGATGTGAGGAGGTGCCAGGTACCCATCTCCATTGTTGATTGCACAATCCCATACGTAGAGGCATTATACCTCAATCGGGTACAGTAACTACTCCACCAGGATGAGTCCACCAGTATATTATAGTTGGCACAGAGGACAACAATAATTGTGCCACTCAGTCATTATGGGAGAGAGGTCAATGCAAAGTGGAGCTTTGCTACTGTGGGGTTTCTACACGGCTTTGTGCTAGATTTTGGTGCGGTTGAGTTTCTGGTCAAGATTAAGGAACTGAAGGCTTACCAATTGTTGTGGAAGTCTTACTACCTCTGTCAGAGCCTTCTGATGGGACCTAAAACAAGGTAGCAATGCAACCTGTCCACAAGGGCCAAGAGTATTGCCTATGCTATCTAACACGGGTCCCAATGAAAGAGAGGACTTGTTATAATCGCTATCAACAGATCTTTAGGATGATCACGTGAAGAGCCTGGCGCCAGGTACTCATCCCCATTGTTGGTTGCCCAACCTCAGAAGTACAGGCTTTGACCAGTTATAGTGACTACTCAAAGAGCACAACAATGGGTGCACCAGTATATACCCTGTTTCCCCGAAAATAGGACCTACCCCGAAAATAAGACCTAGTACTATTTTGGAGAATTGCTAAAATATAAGACCTACCCCGAAAATAAGACCTAGTTGTGACCATTTTCAGGGCCGGTGGTGGCATAAGGGGGAACATGACGAGCCGCAGAAGAGGCGTGAGAGAATCAGCAGTGCCAATGAAGCCAGCGCTAGAGGAAGCAGAGCCGCATAAGCCAATGCTTCCTCTATAGTGTCAGCTCCTGTCACAGGCGGAGTGATACCAAATGCACTCCGCTTGTGAGGAATCGATAGTGAAAGTGCACTTCACTCATTCTGGCCAGAGATTGGTTACCAAATTGCTCTTGGAAAGGTAAGGCACCCCTGATTGCCCTGATCACTCTATTCTTAATTTTGCCATTTTGGATTATTTGATTTGGATATGGATTTGCATTAACTTTGGCTTGTTGTACATTAAAAAAAAAATAAGACCTACCCCGAAAATAAGACCTAGTGTGTTTTTTTGAGCCCAAAAAAATATAAGACAGTGTCTTATTTTCGGGGAAACACGGTAATAGTTTCCCCTGAGGACGGCAATGAATGTGCCAATAAGAACATCAGAATGTGGCAGGGAGTAGAGACTAGAGGAAGAGACGACCATGACATTAACATGAATGCAGTGGACACTCAAAATAATATGTAACTCCCCAATGTTACGACTGGGCACTGTTGTGAATACGTCTTTCTTCCTGCATTGTCTTATGGACCACAGGACAATTTTGCAATCAACCTGAAGGTGATCAATGCACCTATAGCCAACCCCTGGCTTTCCAGCATGGTTATAAATGCCAATGCCAGACCAGATGCCATCTCTCCCACCTTCATGACCCTCTTCTGTCCGAGTTGGGGCTTGCCATCGGCTCCCACCGGATCCAGGATGACGCAGTATTGCCGGCTGTTCAAGGTGGTGATGTCCACCACCCCCACCACCTCCTCATACACGTTGGGTATGTATGCTTCAGCGTCGTCCATGGTCACCAGCCACTCCTCTCCTGTACGGCGCAGGTTACCCTTCTCATCGCGGAATGTCTTGGTGGCACGGATGTGCAGTGCTCTCTACAACATAAAGAAAAGATTTGCTTTTAGGGAAACCAAAATATAGTTTTAAGATGCCATTGCCATGATTATTATTATTATTATACAGGATTTATATGGCGCCAATAGTTTGCGCAGCGCTTTATAATATAAGGAAAACATTACAGTCACAATACAATTCAAGACAAGATGGTAAGGAGGGCCCTGCCCGTGAGGGCTTATAATCTAAAAGATTGCCATGCAGAGTCCAACCAAAAATAGTAAGACCAACGGGATGACCAATCTTGGATGAAGAATGGAGGGGCTGGGATACATTTTTGTTCCGTAAGTCCAGCACCAGAGTTGTCTTTACATTGCCTACACACTGCATAGCAATGCTTTCCAAGCCACAGCCAAGCCAGTTTATGCTGCCAGCGTTCTGCTGGATCTGCAGATCTCAGTCTAATCCTGGAAAAGGAGCAGATCACCAGCACTCAATAATAGAGATGAGTATGTCCTTTTTAAATGGACAAAAACGTCACAGAAATCCAAATAAGCCGACGTTTCGGGGCCGCGCAGGGTCCCTTCCTCAAGGCAGAAAGACGTGACCGGCATACGTGTTATTCATTTGAGAGTCTTTCTGGGGCGGGGGCGTGCTGCCTTCGCGTGCAGTGTGTCGGGTCATTTTCTCTCCGGCACGTCAGCTTGCAAGAGCTTGCATAGCGGAGCGTGCCGAGATGAAAAATGCAATTTTCAGCCAATCGGCTCGCGCGTCAGGCGCACATTACAGTATTGGTTTATGTTAAAAAATCTGAGGGTTTAATGTCACTTTAATTGCAGTGGAGGTCAAGGGCATGGCTCATGGCTGGGCTTTCTAACAGGAGTGCCTGGAGCACAAGACTGGCCACACAGAATACCAGATACAGTTTTTGCATTTGCAGAGATCTTATCTGTTCAGGTTTACAATGAAAATATAAACAAATTGTACCCGCTGATAATGTAACTCGGCATGAGCAGCTCTGAACCGCCATCTGTATAACCAGCCTATGTATAGCCGGGTGTGTTATAGTGAGGGGACGGATGGACTTGGGACAGGCAGGTTTATCTCTCGGGGAAATTGGTCTTTAACATATTTTATTTTACAGCCAGATCCTCAGATTACAATTCCCGCTGGTGATGTCAGGCAATAAAGAGCTCCCTTCCTGTGCAAAGATCAGGGACACACCTGGGTGGCAGCCACCGATCAGAGTCATGGTGACAACTCTCCATACAGTTTTGATCCACAATTTCAGATTTCGAGGCCAGACACTTATCATACTTTGGCTGCAGCTACACATGCGACTTCTGATGGTGCAGCCAAGCAATTTATATTGCCTCTGGGAGTGATGCATTTGGCTGTCAGATTCTTGCAATGGGATTTGTAGTTGCACCACAGCTGGAGGGCCGGAGTAACCCTCCAATAGACCAGCATCCATCAGAAGGTAGAAGTGATTGCCCAATAGCGGCCCCACACATGGCTGACATACATACAGACACGGTTTCTCAGACCCATAATTCCGGTCGTGGTTTACCTTGTCCGTCAAGACGAAAGCGTCCACAATGTCTACGACTTCTTCATACACGCCGGGAAGATAGGCGCCGACCTTTTTCACCAGCCACTCCTCCCCTGCGGAACAGAGGAGGCAGCCAATCAGTGGGGAGAATCTGATCATCTTTTAAGGGAACATGTTCTATAATTTGGTATTAGGGCTTTTCCCCATAGTTCTCCTTAGGGTAATGGGAGGACACAAACTAGCGCCCTCCCATCACCCAAAGCTCAGTATATATATATCCATATACTGAGACGCCGCAGCCAGAACGGATCCTGACAATGCTGTCTGGATCCACCCAGCTGCGTGAGTGACAGCTGGCTCTGCCTATCTAGAAGCAGAGCCAGCTGTACCCGCCCCCTCCCCCGTCCGTTCCGCCAGTCAGCGTTGGAGGATCGTAGCGGGGAGGGGGGGAATCCAGTCACTCCACTGTCACGGCTCTCTGCCGGCACAGGATCGAGAAGTAAGCGAGCGTCGTTATGTGTTCACTCACTTCCCGATCTACTGAGCCGACCTGTGACAGTCTCATTGTCACAGGTCGGCTCAGATTATGAAGTTGAGTGACTATCACTCGCCTCATAGTTCTCCTTTAATGCTCGGGGAAAACCCAAACTGGAGACATTGACTTGGATCAACACATGCAATAATCAGAACAATGGCAGATGAGTACTGACCGGTGACTCGGGGATGGTCCTCTCTGTCCTGGCACTCCTTGCGGGCACGAAGGCGGATGGCCTGGTTGTGACGGATGACAGTGGCTTGGATGGTCTGAACCACCTCTACCTCCTTCCTGGGGATGTAGGTACCTGGTAGGGCGAGATTTTTTAGAAGAGATCCATCATACATTCTGACACTGATGAAGAATGAAAGATTGACTGATATTTCGTGTTGGTAGAACCAGCGAGTGCTTCACCCATCACTCAAGAACCAAAGTGTCAGGAGTTCCCCCTCAGCTGCTTGCTTCATCTACTCCAGTCAAGCCGTAACTCTCACAATGTTGGAAGGTGACACCACCACTTGGCTCACTTGGCTATGCAATGGTGACCATGGCTGAGCAGCAGTGGGAGTCCCAGTGGGGAGATCTGACCGCTGGAGGTATAAAGGAAGCTCAGTCAGTTAGGTTCCTTACCTGGGCCTTCGAACAGCCACTCGTCACCCGCCACAAACTTCTCGTTCTCATCTTCTTCAAAGTCCAGCAGAGCTTTCAGGTGGAGCGCAGTGTTGGCGAGGACCACGGTCAGCGGCGTGACACCCTACCCCAGAATGGAAAAGCTCAACTGTGAATCCCACAAATCCACATACATCCAATTTCTGACTACAGTCCTTTAGAATTGGTTGGTGATTGGCTACAGACAGGCATCTGCAATTTCAAGAACACCCCACCCCCCCCATTTAGATGCATTTAGGAAACGCACATTAATGAACGGGACTGGTGCCATCGATTTCAAAAGCACAAATACAGTAGCTGTCAATGCAACTGTACTACAGCACACCACAAGTCGCACACTGTCTGCTATGGCGTGCATGCATTGCAGGTGCATTATTTCTTGTGTTGGGGTCTTCTGGAGGCACTTTTGACTGGGGTGCCTTAGTGCAGTGTGCCTCCGAGTACGTGTTAAAGGAGAACTATGGGGCGAGTGCTTTTCACTCACCCTCATAGTCCTAGCCGACCTGCGACAATGAGACTGTCACAGGTCGGCTCAGTAGATCGGGAGGTGAGCAAACACATACCGGCGTTCGCTCACCTCTCGATCCTGTCACGGCTCTCTGCCGTGACAGGAGAGGGGCTGGATTCCCCGCTCCGATCCTCCAGCGCTGACTGGCGGAACGGACGGGTGAGGGGGCGGGTACCGCTGGCTCTGCCTCTAGATAGGCAGAGCCAGCTGTCACTCACGCAGCTGGGCGGATCCCGGCACAATTGTCGGGATCAGCTTCAGCTGCGGCGGTCTCAGTATACGGCGAGCTGTAGCTCCCTATATACTGAGCTTAGGGTGACGGGAGGACGCTAGTTTGTGTCCTCCCGTTACCCTAAGGAGAACTATGGGGAAAAGCCCTGACCCCATAGTTCTCCTTTAATGCTCCACATTGCTGGTACTTAATGGTAGAGAGAAGGAGACATTGCTGTCTATAGGGAAACGGAGTGACAGAGCTGCTTTAGGATCAGGCTGCATGAAGCCTGTTCATTGTGTGATTATTTGTGATATATTTTGTGATTATCAGCAAAACACATTGTCAAAATCTGGAGCAGACAAAATCTGGAGCAGTTGTGCATGGCAACCAATCAGCTTCTCTCTTCAGTTTGTTCAGTTGGGATTTGAAAATGAAAGATAGAAGCCGATTGGTTGCCATGCACAACTGCTCCAGTTTTTGTGCATGGGTGGATCTCGACAGTAATTTTCGGGATTCTTCCCGGCTGCGGCGGTCTCAGTATATGGCGAGCTGTAGCTCGCCATATACTGAGCTTTGGTTCATGGGAGGACGCTAGTATATGTCCTCCCGTGACCCTGAGGAGAACTATGGGGAAAAACACTGACACCATAGTTCTCCTTTAAGTTTTTTTTCTACTGACAGGATCTCATGCTGATGTTGCATTTGCAGAACTAGGTGTCGGTCCCATCAATTTAAAAGGGGAATCTTTTGGCAGACGTTACACCGTTGGATCGTAACCCGGGACCGACACAATTAGCTACAATTTGTGCACCGTGAAATGAATTAGTTTTGGTTGGAGAACACATTTAAAGTGTGCCCAACTCCCACTTCAACCAAGGCAGCCATTTTCCAGGACCGTGTGACATCACCAATTTAAAAAAGGAGGGTCTTGGAAACAGAGATGCACCTGCTCTAACTCCTCTCCCGGGTAGAGGGGGAAGGGATCCCGGGACAGTCGGATCTCCTGGTCTCCGTGCCTCAGTTTGGCCTGTCCGATGCCATCGAACTGCACGGCGCGGGCGGCGTCCCTCAGCACCGGGTTCCGAATCACGCAGTAGTGGCGGGGTGCCACCATCACCATAGGGACGGGCCGGAACAGCACCCTGAGCAATAGGAACGCATGTTATAGTCAAGTAACAACATTGTATCAAGATCAGGATCGGTGATACAAAAGGCTAAAACACATACGGCTACAGTGTTAAAGAGGGCTTCCGCCATCAAAGGACTTGTATTTACCTTACTGCAACTCCTAATACCAAAACCCTGAATACCAAAGTGCCTCTGGTCTCTGGAGTCCGGGTAATGCCATGTAAAATTTTATGGGACAAAATTCTGTCCAGTGGTGGAGAGATCTCATTGGTTCCAATGCCGATCACAAGGATACTTTTTGTCAAGGTGATAAAACATGGGAGATCTTCCCATTGTCTACACCGAGTGGCTCAGTGGTCAGCACTTCCACCTTACAGCACTGGGGCTCTCGGTTTGAACAGCAGGACACTATCTGGTTTGTATGTTCTCCCTGTGCCTGTATGAGGTTCCTCAGGGTACTCCAGCTACCTCGCTCATGCTGCAAGGTCGATTGGCTCCAGTCTAAACTGGTCGTAGTATGTGGGATAGGGACCGTAGATTGCAAGCTCCTTGAGGACGGGGACTGATGTGGATAAATAGTATGTATAGCGCTGTGTGAATTGTTTTCTCTCTAATATACAGTGTGTGTGTGCATGTGTGTGTGTGTGTGTGTGTGTGTGTGTGTGTGTGTGTGTATGTATATATATATATATTTTATTTTTTAAATTTTTTTAGAGGGTGTGGTGTGTTTAAAGTGACCCTGTCACCATACTATACACTACTACACTATACTTTCCTGGGCAAGCTATACCGATTAATACTTTAAGCTGGCCATACACCTCTTGGTTTTTTGTCTCATTCAGCCATGTGGGGTGGTTGGTGGTCTCGACTGGGCACACTGGTCACATTTCCGACATGTAGGCTAAAATGTGACAAGTGTATGGCCGGCTTAACTCTCCTACTACTACCCATGTGTACTGGGAAACTGACCCATCTGGGAGTCAGTCTCCGGTGTTCTCCGCAGCTCTTATGGGTTCCGCCTGCCAATACAGGAGAGAGTAGGGATGTGGAGAGTACTGTTCTGATGCAGTTGGTATAGAACAGAATATCGGGCCCTGGCTGATATCTGGCTGGTGGTGCCCGGGTGTGTCATGTCAAGCTATGCCACCGTCCCAGATACTTATTTTGGGCATTTATGTGCGGGACAGGTTGCCCAATATTTATTACAGGTGTGTGTGTGTGTGTGTGTGTGTGTGTGTGTGTATACACACACACACACCTACATTTCTTCAAACTAGCTCAACAAGCAAAATTGAGCTTAATCTGGGCAAAATCTCACAACCTGCAGGGAAGTTTGCATCCTTTTTAAGATCAAGAATTTAACCTTCGGTAGTAATATATCACTGAGAGAGTAGTTGATGTCGGGAACAGACCTCTAACAGAGCTGGCGAGTCATTCCACTTTAAGGAATCGTTCACACAGCCGTTCACTCCCCCAGACTGGAGTATTTCTGCAGCAGGTAGGGCCTGACTCAATGGAAAGTTCTGTCATCTTTCTTTATGTCTCTTTGTTTCATTCTTCTATTCAGATCCCTTCCAGGTGCGTTTGAAGCAAAGTAAACACAGAGAAAAAAACTATTCAAATGTAGTAAAAGCGACAGATAGGAGAAAGAACCCTAAAACTTTGTATTTGCATCTCAATCATCTGAAAAGTCCGGCCTTCTGGCTGCATTACAGCGACGTTCCTTCCAAAATGCTAGTTATGTACCCCAAGTATTTTCCAGCTTGCTGGGCAACATCTTCAGCTAATGCTGCCAAATCTCCTTCTCTACACACCACCCAACTGCTGCACACCGATCTGTCAAAAAGCTCCCACCATCCCTGAGCTGAGTTCTCGGGTCTGTACCCCTGCTGTGCCCATTATGAGGAGCTCCCACCATCCCTGAGCTGAGTTCTCGGGTCTGTACACCTGCTGTGCCCATTATGAGGAGCTCCCACCATCCCTGAGCTGAGTTCTCGGGTCTGTACACCTGCTGTGCCCATTATGAGGGTTTCCCCACACACAAAGGTGGGACAATTAGAACTCCCGGGTGGATAGGAACAGTTGTGTATTATCGCAGGAAGACCTCAGACATAGAAGGAGACGAGGGATGACCCAGCCCAATGGGCCTCACCTATAACAAGAATGTCCCTGTGGGGAGGACTGACACACACAGTGATAAGATTATAAAGAGAAGATAACACCCAGAGGGTTCCAACCTCTCATTGTCCTGGCGAATGTAGGTCTTGGGCCCGGTCTCCACGCGGGCGATGTTGGTGTTCTGGTCCAGTACATGGATGTAGTGGTACGGGGGGATACGGATGATGGATTCCTCACTCATGGTCAGGCCGGAAGGATGCAACTGGAAGGAGAACGCATGACTGATTATCTGCATGTTATCCGGATCCCTTTCTAGGTTCTATTTCAGTTCATATTTGTACAATCTTCCTCTACCATTGCGCTACATACAATATCACACAATGACGCACACCACGCACTGTCTCCTCTTGCCCCGGCACACCATGTACTGTCTCCTCTTGCCCCGGCACACCATGTACTGTCTCCTCTTGCCCCGGCACACCACGCACTGTCTCCTCTTGCCCCGGCACACCGTGCGCTGTCTACTCTTGCCCTGGCACACCGTGCACTGTCTACTCTTGCCCTGGCACACCGTGCACTGTCTACTCTTGCCCTGGCACACCGTGCACTGTCTACTCTTGCCCTGGCACACCGTGCACTGTCTACTCTTGCCCTGGCACACCGTGCACTGTCTACTCTTGCCCTGGCACACCGTGAATTATGAGGAGCTCCCACCATCCCTGAGCTGAGTTCTCGGGTCTGTACACCTGCTGTGCCCATTATGAGGGTTTCCCCACACACAAAGGTGGGACAATTAGAACTCCCGGGTGGATAGGAACAGTTGTGTATTATCGCAGGAAGACCTCAGACATAGAAGGAGACGAGGGATGACCCAGCCCAATGGGCCTCACCTATAACAAGAATGTCCCTGTGGGGAGGACTGACACACACAGTGATAAGATTATAAAGAGAAGATAACACCCAGAGGGTTCCAACCTCTCATTGTCCTGGCGAATGTAGGTCTTGGGCCCGGTCTCCACGCGGGCGATGTTGGTGTTCTGGTCCAGTACATGGATGTAGTGGTACGGGGGGATACGGATGATGGATTCCTCACTCATGGTCAGGCCGGAAGGATGCAACTGGAAGGAGAACGCATGACTGATTATCTGCATGTTATCCGGATCCCTTTCTAGGTTCTATTTCAGTTCATATTTGTACAATCTTCCTCTACCATTGCGCTACATACAATATCACACAATGACGCACACCACGCACTGTCTCCTCTTGCCCCGGCACACCATGTACTGTCTCCTCTTGCCCCGGCACACCATGTACTGTCTCCTCTTGCCCCGGCACACCACGCACTGTCTCCTCTTGCCCCGGCACACCGTGCGCTGTCTACTCTTGCCCTGGCACACCGTGCACTGTCTACTCTTGCCCTGGCACACCGTGCACTGTCTACTCTTGCCCTGGCACACCGTGCACTGTCTACTCTTGCCCTGGCACACCGTGTACTGTCTCCTCTTGCCCTGGCACACCATGTACTGTCTCCTCTTGCCCTGGCACACCATGTAGTGTCTCCTCTTGCCCTGGCACACCATGAACTATGAGACCAAAAGCTTCAAGTAGACTAGAGAGGCTTGGCACAGCTTCATAAGAAGATACAGAGAAGGAGAAACATTACCAGCAGCACACAACAATGTTGCAGCCACGACGTGGCACCTAGTGCCATCTAAAAATAAGTGGCACTAGGTCCCATTCACACACCAGCATTTTCCACCTTTGACTTTTGGAGGAGCCGGGAATGCCAACTAGGACGCCCATTGCTGGAATTTGGCCTGACTGAGAAGGAATGGACAGAAATCCAAGCTGTGCATGGCCAGCTTTAGGCATACGGGGTTAATATCAGTGCTGGCCAGGATGACTAGAAGCTCTGAAGCCAATACATTTACTCACAGATGAGGGGTGGGGGGGGTCAGTTATTGTTTTGCGGATGGCTTGGGCAAACGCCACCAAGCCCACGCACATTCCTATGAGTCACAGATCTCCCTTGCTTCCCCCATCTGCGAGTAGATGTAGCCCCAAGGCCACACACATTCCTAGTGACTACACGGATGAGGTTGGGCTTGGTGGAAAGCCAGTTCGGAGTTCACCCAAGCTTGCTGAAAACTCTGACCCCCCCCCCCCCCCCCAATCAGTTATACATCACAAAGGGGCGGGGAATGCCACGCCACAACTACTGCCACTGATTGGGTCAGGAGGAGGGGGTGTGGGTCTTAGGCAAACTGGGTTCATAGCAAGCCCAACCTCATCTCTACTAGTGACCAAGCTCAGAAATCAGGGTTCAAAAACACTACTGAATGTGTTCTCTACACATGGCGCACTGATTTCCCGCATGCTCCCAAGTGGGGGGGCCCCCTCCCACCTCCGGACCCCAGAGCAGCTGCATGGACTGCTATGTCTATAGTTACCCCCTTCCATGAGCAGTTGTAGTTTACAGTAAACGGAGCAGACCTTTATCATGATCACAATGTCTCCTCTTCTAGCAGTTCACTGACTGCATCATCCTCCTCCTCCTGTGCAGTTGCCCTTTAAGGGCGACACACCCGCACCATGTGAATCAGGCTGACAGATGAGCTGGTCAGGGAGATCCCGGAGGAAGGAGGAGAGCGGAGAGATCACTTCCTGGAATCATCGGCTTATAGATGATGGAGTGTGCACAGGCGGTGTCACATAACAGATAGAGGTTTTTACGATCCATTAGAGAGATTCCCACTCACTTCCTGTCCCGGTGACAACTGTTTTAGCAGAGAGGAAGTGAAGGAAAATCTGCAACCGGGACACAGAAATAAAGAACTTGATGGCGGTCTCAGGTTCCCCCCATTCTATTGAAGAAGGCATTTTGTCTGTTTTGCTGCTGGTGGTTTTTCTTCACTTCCTGTCCTGGTGACAACTGTTTTATAAGACAGGAAGTGAGGACAACAGGGTCACAAACAAAGCCCTGACAGGGGTCCCAGGTTCCCCCTATTATACAAAAGAATGTGTTTGTCTGTCTTGCTGCTGGAGGTTTTCCTTCACTTCCTGTCTAGTGTAGTGGTTGTCACCGGGACAGGAAGTGAGGGGTAATCTCTCTAACGTAGGCCTGATTCTTCCCCACTCGATCCAGAACTGACATATAAAGTTGATCCTGGACATGCACCGTGATCATCGAGTTGTCATGTGATCGCCCGTCATTGCCTCACTCCGGGGTCAGAGGGCACATTGCTCAGCCATGAGCTGGACTGGTTTCTTATGATATGACGAATTCCTGAATGATTGCTCGGGAGCCCCCAACGCGGCTACCCGGGAACCCTCCAATCAGACCCCGGAGAGCAGAGATTGGCACAGTGCCAAGGGGAGGGGGCAGGGCAGGGGGGACCAGGGAAGGCACAGGGGGTGGATTAGGAAACTTTGTGTACTTTTATGAAGTGAGAAAAGAAAAAAAACAATATAACAATCTCGGATACATTTTATTAAAGGGGCGGGATACCCCCATCGGAGGAGTCTCACTCCTCCTGTGCCATTCAATACATTTGATTAAAGGGGCGGGGCACCCCCATCGAAGGAGTCTCACTCCTCCTGTGCCATTCAATAAATTTTTTTAAAGGGGTGGGATACCCCCATCGGAGGAATCTCACTCCTCCTGTGCCATTCAATACATTTTAATAAAGGGGCGAGGCACCCCCATCGGAGTCTCACTCCTCCTGCGTCGTCAAATACATTTTATTAAAGGGGCAGGATACCCCCCTTGGAAGAGTATCACTCCTGTGTAATTAAATTAAAGGGGCGGCATGCCCCCATCGGAAGAGTCTCACTCCTCTCGTGTCATTAAATA